AGAATTTTTAAAGATTTTTGAAGTTTTTTCCGGAAATTTTCGAAAATTTTTTTATGGGTGGAGATCTCCGGAGATCTCTACCAAAAAATTTCCTGATGTATTAGCATGACATACACCTTTGGGATAAATCAATAGCAACAAGCCAATATAGATATAGTTTAATATGTATCTAGAATAGTTTATAAATAATAGTTCTTATATAAGAAATACAAATATAAACTAAATAAAGTATATTAGGCAAGGCCTGGCTAGTTGGAAAAAAAAAATATATATTTAATAATATATTTAATGATGAACTGGTTGGAAAGTTTAAAATATCTACTATAGAAGGTGTATTTTATGCATAGTAATAATTTGAGTTTGTTATTTAAGTCTTAATTTTGCCACTTCAACTTTAGGCTCAGTATTCTTATTTTTATGTTTGACATTTTCATCTATTATTTGTTTTAACTTTGTATTCTCTAACTTAATCTCGGGTTCTCGAGCACAATGATTCGCTGTTTCAATAATTTTAACACTAATAACATGTTTGGATATTAACAGTTTTATATAGAAAGCAGATTTATTCAAAACTTCGAATCCAATTTTTATTTTACAGGAGCAAGGTGTCTAATCAACTGTAATCTGTGTGATTCATATATACACTCCTACAATAAATTACAGGACATTAATAGACATAATAAGAAAAGAAAATTTTTAAGACGTTCTTTTGTTTTCTTTTTAAATATAAACATAATTGACAATCCTATATATATAAATCGGTTTTTTTTTTGTAAATTTTTTCTATATCAAACATGTACGAAAAATAATTAACATATGAAAACAGAAAACAAATAATTGATGCTTTTCTCATAGGTTCAAATGCTCCAAAAATATCAATTGCATTGAAACTTTCATATACAACAATATATAATACTATAAATCACTATAAGAAAACAGGTTCTTCACATCCCAAAAAATGATCTGGCTGTTTAAAAGCTATCTCAGTTTGTGGACAATGATATTTAAAAAAAACTGTTTTAAAAAACTGATTTTTATCTCTTAATGAAATTACTTATCAATTAAACTTAAGCTTTAATATTACTTATCATTTCAATACTATTCATAACTATCTTCATAATCTTGATCTAAGAAGTTATACTACTTGCAAAAAACCATATTTAACTTATAAGCAATGTATATCTCGATTAAAATGGTGTCAAATTAAGTATAATTGATATGAGAAATGGAAACAGATTGTATGGTTTGATGAGTCAAGATTTACTTTATTTAAGTCTGATGGGCAGGTAAAAGTATGGTGAAATATAGAGAAGGCTTATAATATAGATTGTATTAAACCTACTATTAAGTTTAATGGAGGATCTGTTATGTTTTGGGAATGTTTTAATTGGTATGGTATTGAACCATTAATCATAGTAGAAGAAAATATGAATTCTGATATATATGTCAATGTTCTTGCGAAAAACTTAATACCATGGATTAATAACAATCCAAATATAGTATTTCAACAAGATTTGGCACCATGCCATATATTGACATATACAACTTGGTGGATGGTGACACACAATATTCCGATTTTGGACTGGATATCACAAAGTCCTGATTTAAACCCGATCGAACACTTGTGGGACCATCTAAAACATCAAATATGAAAAAGAAAACCTTTACCTCAATCAAAAAAAGAATTAATTAGTGTTGCACAAGAAGAGTGGAAGAATATAGATATAAAAACTTTACATCATCTAATTTTAAGTTTATCTAAACATGTTAATGCTATCATTAAAGCTAAAGGTGGACCTACAAAATATTAATTTTTACTATCTTAAATTCTTAGATTAATAATATAGAACTAATACTTTATTTGTAATCGAAACTTTAATAAAAAAAAAATTTAAAAAAAATTAAATACAAAAATCGTTATTTTTTTTTAATTATATAATGTCCCGTAATTTATTGTAGGGGTGTGTATATACATTTTTGTAACACTAATTACATTTATACAGCAATTCTATAAACGAATTTAATCATATGAATATTCTCTTTGGAAATATATGATCGTACAAAATAAGTTCATTCATTTTTTAAAAAACCAATCCGTGGAATCATTCCCTCCCCTACCACGACCTCTCCCTCGTCCCCTTCCCCTATTTCTTTCTCTTTCATTTGATATTTTTGGTAAGAACTCTGCAAATGTCACAGTTTTTGGCCGTTCTGGTGTAACTCCAGTTGGATATTTGGTTTTAGGTTTCGCGATACGTCGTTGCCCTTCCTTTTTAAATTTCTCAAACATCCTAACCTCCTTAAGAACATTATATCGTAAACATAAGAGTGTTCGAATAAGTCGAGGTACATGTTCTAAGTTATCAGTAGAAGTTGGGATGACGAGAGCTGGAATTGTAAATGGTGAGAACAAGTACAATCCAGGTCCAATAAATATCATTTGGCCAATTTCAACATTATCACCTGAGAATAAGTAATATATATTATATACTAAAACAAAGAAATGTTTGCGAGCACAAAAACATTTTGAAAACTTACCAAATCCTTGAGCCAAGCAGTCCCGTTCTTGTCATAAACTTATTGATGGCAAAAACACCCTCATTCATCAACTTCTGTCTATCTTCATTAATTTTATCTGGGTCCGGATTATTGGGACCTTCTGATACCTCGAGTAAAAACAATGGAATTTGCATGGGTCGCTCAAAAAACTCTAATACACCATCAGCTTTAAAACCATTTTCTTGAACATCTATTTTTGTAGAAATACTTCGCTCACATGAAAAATAATGTAATGAGTCGATAAAACAAAATGTAACAAAAAACAGATATGCTAATACGTGAGTTGTCCATGTACGTTCAGGGGTGTTTTTCATGGCACCATTCATCTTTGTGATAGTATCAAGGTGACTAGAGACGCTCTTAACAATAAACATATCAGGCATTTTAGATTGGTCATAATATTGCGCCGACATAGGAAAAGTGTTGGATAGGTAGTGATATTTTTCGGGTAAGCAATCCAGCTGATGCACTATTTCCTCCATTTTAACAATTGATTTGTTAAACTTTTTGTCATCTCCTTCCATATTTCTCGTCTCTTCATTATTTTCATCTACAAGATCACTGCGAGCTACTTCGTCCCAACTACGTCATCATAAATATCTTCCACGTTCTCTTCCTCCATAATATGATCAAAGAGCTCTATATATCTACGTGTCTTTTCATTTATGTACATATCCTCATCATCCAACACTAACCTCTTAAACAACGATTTTAACTCATTCTCATCTAAAAGGTCATGAACCATATGCGATGTATCTTTATCCCCTAAATCGATAATATGATAGTTCGTAGCATCTTGATTGTTCCAGATAGATTTAAGTTTACTATAATATGACGGAAATTTAACTTTGCCGAAAGTGCTGGAGGCATCGATCACTGAATTCGCCAAGTCTTCATCTGTAACATCTTTTTCAGCCTCTTGCTGTGTGTTGCGCGCACGTTTTTTCGGCAGAAAAGGTGTGGTAGATAGTTGAGCTTTCTCTTTCAGATCCGACGCAAAATTTTCATCAAAAGCTTCCAACATTATTTTTGAATCTCTTATTGTGAGTGGGCTCTCATTCGGGGACATTCTATTGGAGGTTCTGATCTATGCATTCAAAGGTAGTCAAAGTGTCAGCAGATGTTTTTACTAACTAAATTTTAAGTTATATACCAACTTTATTTGGTGGAGTTGAGAATCCTTCTTCAAAATCATTCGAATTACACCTTTTTCTTGCCGATAATTGGACATGATCATCTTTAAATTTCTCCAGTTGTCTGGTAAGTGTAGTCCGTACAACTTGATCACGAACCACTGATGTTCTTAAAACTTCATTATGTTGCTCTGCCTGTAAAGGAAGAAAAGAAGTAAAACATATGTATTTTTTGTATATTTCGTTACATATAGATCTAGAGATGTCTACCATCAGAATATTACGCTCAGTGATCAGGTCTTGCATCATATTATTCTCCTTTACGTCTTTAGTCCATTACTAGCAAAAAAAAATAGAATTTGCTAAGTTCTCATTAAAAATTAGATGCACTATACCAGAATTCATTTGAGGGAAGAATGTCGAACTAAGAGTTCATAACCGAGCAACTAAGAGTTGTACGGCTTTGCAGGAACTAAGAGTTCATAACCGAATAACTAAGAGTTATACAGCTTCTGCCAAGGAAGAGTAGGCACGAACTAAGAATTCATAACCGATCGACTAAGAGTGTACAGCTTGACCATACTCTAACTTTATCCCTTTTGCTTTTTTTTAGCCTTGTCCTTTTCAATATTTCTTGAAAACATACTTTCCAGTTGTTAAGTATGGATTGCGCTTTTTCTCTAAGTGTTGTGTCAGAGTCATCATTTGCAATTCGCTTGAGGTCTTTGCTGACATTGTCAAGAATTTGTTTTAAGATTATGCTGTACATTATTTTTTTTGTAGTACTTTATAACATTCTCGCACGTCCATTCATCGTCAGTTTTAAAAAAATCCATATTGCCCGAGACTTTTATGAAAATACAAGCCACTTATTATGATAATCGCGTCGCGGGACTTATTAATAGTCACATGATATCAATCGACATATTTGCAACCACATTCGTCGGTCCACATCACAAAAAAAATTGACAGCTAAATAGTTACGGTGTAATTGAGATACGCTTATTTCCCATACAATTATATATGAAAAAAGTTCATCGTGGTCACATCGCACCTTCATCGTACCTTTATTACATCTATATTATAAGGGGTTGTAATACATAGAGCAAGTTAATTCATTACGTCCGAAATTTTGTATGGGGAGAAATAGAGCTACCAGTGTTAACATGCGCTGATTGAATGACGATCTAATTTTGTATAAGTTTCACCAGTGTATTGAAATCATAATAATAACCTTCATCGTCATCATCAGAGAAACCACAGAAGCTTTCATCATCTTTAAACGCATTAGCATTCTCACGGAGTGAGTCATCTTCGCTGTTATCAAAGGGATCTTCAAAATCGTAATCATAGTTGGAATTTTCAGATGCGATAGCATCTCCACTCCGCAAGTCATCGGACGTACTTACCTGTATCTTGACTTCTGATGGATCAGAATCTCGATCAATCTCTTCACATATATCAACCTCTGGTAAAGATTTAACTTTACTTATCGAATTAGAGGAAGTGGTTGTAATACTTACCTTGGTTTCTGGTAAAACTTGATCATTCCCCGGGGGAACGGTTTTTGATTTCACTTGATCTATAATATTCTGAATTTGTACATTAGTCAATTTTGAAATCTCATTCGCACTATATGTAATCAGCTTAATTTTATCTATTCCGACACCATTTTCTCCGAATAACATAAGAAGTTTTCTAGCTCTAAGAGTTTTTTTACGCAAG